CTTCTAGAAGAGTGGTTGGCAGACTTCTTCCTTAAGGGATGAGATAGTATTTCAGACCGTAGGTCTCTCACAGTCCTTAGCTCTGCCGTAGTAGCAGGAAAGCAGCCACAGATAATATATTAACAAATGGGCGGCTGTTTTCCAGTAAAACTTTACTTACATAAATAGGTGGTGGGCTGAATTTGGCCCTTGGGCCATTGTTTGCTGACTTCGGTTTTGGAAGGAGATAAGGCCTCACTTTTGGTTCAGGTAGACCCTTGGTTGTGGGGCAGATGCTATGTCCAGGGCTGATTTTAGGGGCAAAAATAGAATATAGGGGACTAGCTGTGGTTATGGGAAATATTAATCATGCTCTGTTAACTGTGATTGCTTTGTTCTGGTTAAAGAAAGGACATTCTAATCTGGCTGGGGACTGTATGCCCTTGGGACCCGGGAGTCAACCTTGGACCTGGGAGATAACCTTGGAATGCTGTCCATTCTCATTCAAGAACTGCCTGTTATCATGGGAAGATGAACAACCTTGTTGCCCACACAATTGAGTCCCAACCCAGTCTGCATAGCCTACTTCCTCATGCCTGTAATCCCTACTTCCCCATTGTAAGCTTTGTCCTACCTGATATAAGCAGCTGGTTTATTGGGGGGTGGGGGGGCTGCGGAGCAGATTTTTGTGGATGACCTGCTCTCTCCCATACTGCCGGCATTATTGGAATAAATGGTCATATATGAATCAGCCTTGTCTCTGCTTAATTGGCTTAAGTAGTGACAGGCAGCCCAGACCCCTTGGGTGTCCGGTTTCACTGGGACTGGGATGAAGCCAGTCAGGCACTCACTTTAGCCACAAGTTTTACGTGAGTGTTGTCAGTGGAAATAGGGTTCTTCCACGGCCACGAGAAAAGCATTTGAGGGACCCACGCATAGGAGAATGAGATGTAGCGGTAAGATTTATTGGAGTGAAAACAAAGGACTATTCCCCAGGTGTCTCATCCACAACCGGGTGGCCTAGCTCGTCTCACTGTGGAGTAAGTCCTGGGCCTGGTGAGCATCAGTGCTGACCAGGAAGGTCAGGACCCAAACTGTAATGTCATCACCCAGGGCTCCTGCCGCGCTCAGGCCTGCTCTTGGAGCCCCACGGCTGCTATGCCCGCCAACGAATGGGTGAACACATGCTACCAAGAATTATATTATCTCAGGCTTGGGAGAGAGCAGGCTTTCTTTCAGACTAACCAATCTCTTTCCCAGTCCTTCTTGGGCTTGTGCTGGGTCCTCCCCCATCCAGGTTGGTCCTTTTCTCAGAGTTTCCAGTCTAGATGCCACCCATTATGTCACCATTTTGGCTACCACTGCGCCTTCCTCAAAGTTCTGCTTCGTCATCGGTTTCTACTGCCCATGTGTCTAGTAAAGGAATTTCTCCCACTCCTCCCTCAAACTCCCTGGGTTGTTCCAGGGAGATTCTTCCTGCCTGCTCTGGAATTAGGTCCCTTTGGTGGAGGGTGCTGCGTTCCCTGGGGGCCTGGGAGTGCTGTGGCTTCCCAGTGAATCAGGTTTAACGTCTGAGTCCATTTGTTCCCTTTCTTACTAGCTACCTCGCTAACAGCAAGCCAGATAAAGAATATCTATCTTGCAATATTAAAAAAATCAAGATTAATACAATAAAAATCCACATGTGCAAAATATCAAACAAGGCCCGGATGAGGGTGGGCTAGTGAGGCGTGTCAAGGCTTAGGGCCGGCTGTGGCCAGGCCATTGCCCAGCCTGTGTTACCTGCCCACCTAGGTAAGGAAGGGAAGGTTTGTAGTGCCAGAAGGCAACTTCAGACAGAACACAGTCCCTTAGGAAAGAGGGGTGCTGCTTTCAGAAGAAAGGGATATTGTTTGTCTGCCTTGGCACTACATGCTTTTCATGTATGTTTTATTTTCTTATTCTTTTCCCTCAGAGCAAAGCTCACTTTATAAAAGAGGAAGATGAAGAACAAAATAAGTTGCCCAAGGTCACACAATCTTACGTAGAATCTGAGGCAAGGTTTTGGTCCTCTTTGGACTCCAAAGCATGAATTCTTGAATTTTTGGCATCGATTAAAGCTGAGGCCTGTTAGAAACTTTGCCAAAGGCCCTGAGCTATTAGTTATCCTCTGTTAACGAGTGGCCCCAGGTGGCTAGCCTCAGTAACCCCTTCCTGGCTCTTTGCTCTGGTTGGCAGATGGCTTTCAGAAGTTGAGAGAGCCAGAAGCCCTCACCCACTCTTAGAATTAGCCCCTTGTTTCAAAGCAGCAAGAGATCGGTGCATATTTCCAAATTAAATTACAGACACTGCGAGCGTTAAGTGGCAGGTGAGCTGCACTTTAAATAGATCACATTAATTCTGGCAGTGGAAGCGGAGCCCTGCTGAGATAATTCTTATCATCAGCATCGCTCTGGCAAGCTTTAGAAGGCTTCTGTAGCGGTAAGCAATTTGGGAAATTGAGAGGTGAAAACACACCTTGAAGTGTTTCATGTGCATTCAAGGTCAGAGGGAGGTGACTGCAGTTTTCAAGAGAGATGGTGGTGAAAGTCACTTGATGCTAAAGGTGATGGATATCCGGATGGTTGTCTGGTGTGTTTCAAAACAGGTTTGCTGACGGGCCCACTCAGAGTACTGCTCTCACCAAACTCCCCCTGCTCTGGTTTCTGAGAGAGGCTTCGAGTGGAAAGAAGGCTGTTAGCACACTTTTGCGGTTTGGGTTTGGGAAAAGAATTAGTGTCGCATTTAGGCATCGAGACAGAAGATGGTCCTGAGCGAACTCCCCTGTTGGTGGTTTCTCCAGTCATTCTTGGGACGTTTATTGTAAATGATCCCAGAGGTTGGCATGATCCATCCAGAAGTATGTATGCACACTCTTCTGTATGGGACGTTTATTGTAAATGATCCCAGAGGTTGGCATGCACACTCTTCTGTGCATACACATTTAGATACTGTTAATAGAAAAAGGGAAAGAGGAAACAACACAAATGCTCTCATATAAGAAGGTACTTATTAAGTAAACGATGGTTAGTCATCATGGTCTGTGCATTGTGCTCAGTGCTTTACCTCCCTTTTCTCCAGTTACCCCAGGAACCCGGGTGTTCTGTACTTTGGGCCTTTTGTTAAGGGAGAGGAATCCAAACCTTATCATGTTTAAGTGACCTGTTCAGGGTAATTCTACTGAACAATCTTTTCACCTGTTGTTCTGTCCACTAGTCTGGAAGTTTGTTGGAGACGAGTCCTTCTAGTCTCTGCCTGTTAGGCCATAGTCTCGCCCAGTCCATGGCTCCTGGTTAGAAGGCAGTCGATGCTGGCTGAGCTGAAATATTAGAGTGAGCGTACTAACCCAATGCCCAGTGTGTGATGTGTGTATGCACATCCTTCTGGAGGGAAGGTTCACAGACCTTGCCACATTCTCAGAGGGGTCTTGGGACCTGTTAGGCTCCTGGATTAGAATCCTTGTCTGGTAGCAGACTCAGTATTTTCTCTCTTAGTATATTAAGCATTTGTGAACATGATCATTTTAAAGAATGTAGATGCCCTCCTCACTTGGCAAGGCAGTGTGAGTTTGTGGTTTGTAGTTCGACAGCTCTCAGTCCCTTCTGCTGTATTGCTTACTGTGTATTGCTGTGTGAGTTCCTTCACTTGTCCAGGCCTTGGACCTTGCCTTTGACATGGACATGACCTTGGTGGTTATGAGGACTGAGTTCAGATATAAAATGTTTACTACAATGGCTGGTATGTACTTAATGCTCAATAAATAGTATTGGCTGTTGCTGTTGTTACTATTATTGGCAGCAAGTAAAAGTGTTGATGTGAAGTAAAGAAAATTGATCACAAAATTAGGTAAACACTAGAATTACAACTAGAAAAAAATCTGTGCGGGTGTGGATAAAAAAAGGGGGGATGTGAGGAGGTACAATGACTATTTTATGGATACAAACAAACTTTCTTAGCTTTCCCTTAAAGCCTTACATCTGTTCCTTTCTCAGACCTATGGAACTCTCTCCTAAGGAATTGGAAATGAGGACAACTAGTTATGTACAAGGATGTTCAAAGCAGTATATATGGAAAATTGGTAACATATCATGTTCCCTGCTGTAGAGAAATAGACAACAGGGAAGCCATCAAAAATCATATTTCCAAAGATCTTTAAATGTTACAGGAAAATGTTCATGATAAAGATGAGAAAAAACAAATGAGGGTACAAAATTATGTGTGTGTGTGTGTGTGTATTTGTATATATGTGCATGTATACATATGCACCCATATACAATACACACAATACGATGGTATATTAGTTACTTACTATAACAAATTACCACAAAGCTGATGGCTGAAAACAACACAAATTAATTTTCTTACACTTACGAAGGGCTTAGTTCAAAGCCTATTTCACTGGATTAAAGTGAAGATGACATCGGGCTGGTTCCTTCTGGAGGCCCCAGGGTAGAATCTTCTGGTTTCCGGCATTCCGTGGCTATCGCTGGCTGCATCATTCCAATCTCTGCTTCCTTGGCCATGTCACCTGCTCCTCTTCTGTCCGATCTCCCTCCACCTCCCTCTTATACAGATACTTGTGATGATTATGGCCACAGAGACTACCCAGAATAATCAATGACCTCTCCTTCTCCAGATCCTTAACTTAATCACATCTGCAAAGTCCCTTTTGCCATATAAACTAACACTCACAGGTTCCAGGGATTAAGATATGACTATCTTTGGGGGTTATAATTCATCCTATCACAGATGTTGATTTTGTATGAAAAAAAGAAAAGTACAGAAAAAAAGAATGGAAGGAAATACTTAAAGATGTTAACAATGGCCATCTCTGGATGGTGGACTTGAGGTCATTTTAATTTTCTGTATACTCTTTGGTATCTTCCTTTTCTGTGCTAAGGAAGTAGTTCTTTTACAACCTTCAAAGATGCTCAGGGAAGGTTACTAAAGGCGATGCACATCCCAGGCCGAGTGCCACAGCGCCTGTCCCGCTGTCTCCCCAGAGCCCGTGTTCTGGTTCTATGTGAAGGAGGTCCTCAGCAAGCACGAGCTGCAGCGCTTCTACTCCCTGCGCCACATCGCCTCGGACGTGGGCCGCGGCCGGGCCTGGCTGCGCTGCGCCCTCAACGAACACTCGCTGGAGCGCTACCTGCACATGCTCCTGGCCGACCGCAACAGGCTCAGGTACCCACTGGTGGGGTTCTGGGAGGGCGTGTAGGCAAGTGGTTAAAATCACAGAACCTGGAGTCAAAAGCCTGGATTTACACCCTAGGCCCCCGCCCCCTGCTCACAGTCAGTCCCATTTGTTACATGAGAGAAGCCCTGTAAAGGGCTCAGCACGGCACCTGCATAGAGCAAGCACTTACATGCTCATTATTATTAAGGCTCGGGTGTGGAGAGGTCTGTGGTCACAGATCACAGCCTGCTCCTCACTTCATGGAATTTGAATTCGGGCTCTTTTCCAGTTCAGAATTTCTTTCTCTTTAGATATTGGGTGTTTCCTGCCCAGTTTTCCGTTTTGTCTTTACAACTCTTTCTGTTTTCTTTTTTTGTTAATCAATACCAAACTGGCTGAAAAAAATATGGAAGTTTTAAGTTGGGAAGAGAAGTCATTGGTTATTAAAAAATACCCCCCCCCCCCATTTTATTGTATTTTCTTGATCATAAAGTTCACTCTGTCAGGTAGCACAGGCCAGGTTATGCTGCCGTAACAAACACGATGAAGACCGCAGTGGCTTGAGACAGCCGAGTTTATTTCTTCCCTCTGCTTCATGTCTCTCGTGGGTGAACAGGGATTCTCATCGCAGGGACCCAGGCTGATGGAGGCTCCATCTCTATAAAGATGTGGTTGCACTAAGTACTGACTCTTAAAGCTTCTGCCCAAAGTGATGCTTCACCTACTCACATGCGCTGCTCAGGCAAGCTCGGCAGGGTGGGGAGATGTGGTTATGCTACAGCGATGGGGAGAGGGCACTGGATATGCTCCATGGTAGTACAGTCAGCCACATTTTCTCCAAAAACATTGACATTCCTGTCATTTTTTTCTGTGCTCATGATGTCTGTGATGTTTCTCTCTCTCTCTCCCAGTCTCTCTCTCTGACTTTGGCTGTTGTTTTCCCTCTGAGAATGGTGGACCAGAATTGTAGTTTTTTGTCACCTGATGATACAAAGGGACAGTGATCAATCCTGCCCTGGTCCCTTGAGTAACTTCTGCATCAGCAGTGCCCACGTCCTCATTAGTGACGTTCCATTTAGCTCAATAAGTTGGCATTTCATTAGTACCGTGATACATTCCATGTCTCAAGTCTCTCCTCTGTTTCTTCTGCCCCTAGGGCAGGGGTGGGCAAACTTTTTGACTCGAGGGCCACAATGGGTTCTTAAACTGGACCGGAGGGCCGGAACAAAGGCATGGATGGAGTGTTTGTGTGAACTAATATAAATTCAAAGTAAACATCATTACATAAAAGGGTACGGTCTTTTTTTTTTTTAGTTTTATTCATTTCAAACGGGCCGGATCTGGCTCGCGGGCCGTAGTTTGCCCACGGCTGCCCTAGGGTCAGGGGGAAGGGAACAATGGGGACATTATTGTTTAATAGGTATGGAATTTGAGTTTGAGATGATGAAACATTCTGGAGAATGGACAGTGTTCATGGTTGCACAGCAGTGTGAATGTATTTGATGCTGCTGAACTATACGCTTAAAAATGGTTAATAGGGAAAATTTTATGCTAGGTATATTTTACCAGGATTTAAAAAAGTAAAGTAAACCAGTGAGATGCACCTATGAAAAAACAGTGGTACAATCTGGATGTACAAGGCAGGATGATGTCTTTTTGCTGTTATTCCCTGCCATTCTGCTCGGTCCATGTACTGAACACGCGTGTCCTCTCTCTTTCTGTTAGTTGTATTCAGTCACCTGTGTCCAGCCTCCTGCCGAAGTACAGCTCACTCACCACGGACAGTGCTTTAGTGAAATTTAACTCTGACTCCACTCATTTAGAGTTCTCTGACCTGGTGGGGATGTCAGAGGTTTGAGGGTATTTGCTTGTTACCGCTTAGCAGGGGGCTGGATAAAGAGCTGGGAACTGGAAGGGGGAGACCTGCTTTTGAGCTGCATTTATTGCTGAATGACCTTGGACAGACTCTGTAGACCGCTCTGGCCCCTTCCCCCACTTAGATTTGTGGGGCCTTTTTAGCTTCCCAGCCTAACTTGGGCTTTTGGGTCTGTAGCCCAAGCAGATATTACATACAAATGCTGTGGTTGATGGACCGTGGACTTTATAGTTTCTTTCTGAAATGCTCTCTTGTGTTAGCCCCACTTGGACTTCCTGTCTGTCTTTTGGAGACGTTGCTTGAGTGGAAGTCACCCCTCTGTTTGTCCTTAGCAGGGGGCTGGATAAAGAGCTGGGAACTGGAAGGGGGAGACCTGCTTTTGAGCTGCATTTATTGCTGAATGACCTTGGACAGACTCTGTAGACCGCTCTGGCCCCTTCCCCCACTTAGATTTGTGGGGCCTTTTTAGCTTCCCAGCCTAACTTGGGCTTTTGGGTCTGTAGCCCAAGCAGATATTACATACAAATGCTGTGGTTGATGGATCGTGGACTTTATAGTTTCTTTCTGAAATGCTCTCTTCTTGTGTTAGCCCCGCTTGGACTTCCTGTCTGTCTTTTGGAGATGTTGCTTGAGTGGAAGTAACCCCTCTGTTTGTTCCCATCTGCTGCTTCATAAACACCACATTTACATCTCATGCCTATTTCAGGGCTGTCAAGCTCAGGGGACTCTAACGATCTCAGGGGACCAATGAGGAAGTTGTAGGGTCTGTGCAGTCAGTCCTTAGTTTATAACCAGAAGCTTCATCCCAGCAGAGACTCCTGTATTCACTCTGCCATGACCAGGCATGGCTTTTCCCGGAAGCCTGATAATGGAACTGTCTGGCTAATGGGCACAGAGAGCCACTATTTAGAGCCTTTCCCCTTTCTCTTTCAATTTGCAGCACTTTTTATGAAGACTGGTCTTTTGTGATGGACGAAGAAAGGTCTAGCATGCTTCCTACCATGGCAGCTGGTAAGCCCGGGCAAGGCGGGTGATGGGTCCTGTGAAGCAGAGGAGGGATTTTCCTTATTCCTCAGCAATAAGGGCACTTGCCACTGCCCTTCCTTGAATGGCATTGAATTTGATACCCTGGCAGGGAGAGCATGGGGTTGAGGGTTTTTGGTTGTGGCTTCGCAAGTGTAATATAAAGACCTAGGGGTTGGAGACAGGAGACCTGCCTTGGGAGCCTGGTCCGACCCCTTACCAGCTGGGGACCTGGGGCAGATGCTGTTACCGTTACTTTCCTCCTCTGCAAGGTGGGGGTCCGGACGGCACGGCTGTCACCATATTGGGCTGTGAGAGAATCAGATGTGATAGTCATGTACACCATTTGTCAACATGCAAACCTGGAATGATGTTTATTGGTGAATCTTTAAATTGTTTATCATTTGACTCGAACTCAAAGGGTAAAACAACCCAACAGAAGTGGGCAACTTGCTTCTTTCTTCTAATTCCTTTGTTGCCTCCTTTTTCTTTTTCTTTCCTGAAAGTTTGCACCAAGGCCCACATATTGAGAGTTATGTTAGTTATTGGTGAATCTTTAAATTGTTTATCATTTGACTCGCACTCAAAAGGTGAAACAACCCAACAGAAGTAGGCAACTTGCTTCTTTCTTCTAAATCCTTTGTTGCCTCCTTTTTCTTTCCTGAAAGTTTGCACCAAGCCCCACATCTTGAAAGTTACGTTAGCTTAGGCCAGTGGTCGGCAAACTCATTAGTCAACAGAGCCAAATTTCAGCAGTACAATGATTGAAATTTCTTTTGAGAGCCAGATTTTTTAAACTGATTTCCTGTGGGTCATAGGATACCAGTGCAAATTTTTGCATAAGTAATGCTACTGATGACATTGGTGCGCCTTTTGTGATTGCTTACTGAGCTGAGTGTTTTTGGTGGGTGATGGTCTTTATAGTTAACCTGTGAAAGAGATATTGTGCCCCCATTTTACAGATAAGGAAACTAAAGCTCAGAGAGGTTATAAATGGCTTGACCAAGCTCTCGTAGCTTGTACGTGGCAGTGCTGAGATTCAATACAGGCAGTCTGACCTCAGAACCTATGGCTTACCTTCCCTCCTGACAGAGAGGAAGAGAATTTGGAGTGACTCAGCTGCTGTGATAGCTGCTGTCCACTGACCCCAGTTGTGGGAGGTTTTAATCAGCATCTAAGACAGTGATGGCGAACCTTTAGAGCTCGGCGTGTCCGCATTTTGAAAAACCCTAACTTAACTCTGGTGCCGTGTCACATATAGAAATTTTTTGATATTTGCAACCATAGTAAAACAAAGACTTATATTTTTGATATTTATTTTATATATTTAAATGCCATTTAACAAAGAAAAATCAACCAAAAAAAATGAGTTCGCGTGTCACCTCTGACAAGCGTGTCATAGGTTCGCCATCACTGCCTTAGACAGTGGTTCTCAACCTTCTGGCCCTTTAAATACAGTTCCTCATGTTGTGACCCAACCATAAAATTATTTTCGTTGCTACTTCATAACTGTAATGTTGCTACTGTTATGAATCGTAATGTAAATATCTGATATGCAGGATGGTCTTAGGCGACCCCTGTGAAAGGGTCGTTCGAACACCAAAGGGGTCGCGACCCACAGGTTGAGAACCACTGCTCTAGCCAATAGATGATTAGACTGTCCTCTGTTCATCTTCATTGCAGTGGTTTATTATCACTCAGGTGTGAAGATATGTGACCCAGGTGGACACACCTCGTCACCTGAAAGTGCCAAGGGGCCTGAATCTGACGCATTTGCATTCTCAGCTCACATTTGTTTTTATTTTTTTTACCCTTACTGAGAAAGAGCCTCACCTAGAGGGGAAGATGATAGGGTAAAAGAGCAAAAGGTCAGTCAGAACAAACTGAAAGCAAGGGTGTGAGGGCCACGGGAAGCCAGATGAGGTTGATCTTCATTCATTTATTCTTTTGTCCATTCATTCATTTGTTCACTTAATGCATTCTGTGTGCTAGGCTGTGAGCCAAGTAAGACAGATTACAGGCATTCAGCTGTCAGTCTTCTTTGGGATGGGTGGGTAGACATTTAATGACAAATTATACATATAATTAATTATCCTGATAAATGGGATGGAAGCCAAGCATAGGGTGCTATGGAGAGTGTATACTATTGGGCTTGCCTTTTTTTGGCGGGGGAAGACATTTAAGTGGAGGCCAGGGAAAGGGATTAATTAATTAATTAAGATTGATTTTGTGACATGTTTACAACCACCCTGAGCCTTCTGGGACATCCAGAATGTTGCTAAAGCAAAATTGAAAATTTTGGGTTTAAAACTTAGTCCTGGTATTCTCAAATCCCTTAAACAAGGCAGTAATCATGGTCGTCCCTTTGGGGTTATTAATGATTATGCTCAGAATCTTATGGTGTCTTTGGTACACACTGGCTTTATCTGTTTGCCCTCTCCTTCCCAAGCAGAGGCCCCAGGTGAATGAGATAGAAACAGGACTGTGAGGGCTTTGTGTAACAGAGACAATGGAATTTGTATACCCAAAGCAGTATCCTTGCCATTCATTGTGGACTCCCTGCTTTTGACATTGTCTCAGAGTTGTAATGCCCGGGTGAAGCATGTCACACATTGGTTTAGATGGAATGGAGTTTTGGGAATAGGTTCAGGGTGATGATTAAGATGTGTAAACTGGCTCATCTAAGTACTGGTCAGTCTTACAGTCTTATTTTCTGTTTCCATTGGCCTTGTTGTGTAACAAACAGTGTAAAAAATGTAGTGGCTTAAAACTTTATTATTTTCTGTTTCCATTGGCCTTGTTGTGTAACAAACAGTGTAAAAAATGTAGTGGCTTAAAACAACCATGATTTATTCTTTTATGATTATTCTGTGTGTGGCTTGGCGGTCTGGTTTTGCCCCCCCCCCCCCCCCCCATCCCTGGAGTTGGTGCTAACTATTGGCTAGGGTATCTCAGTTTTCTTATACAGGGCCTCTCATTCTTCAATAAGCTAAATCAGTTTTCTTCCATAGTAGTTTCAGGGCAGGATTTCAAGAGGGTGTAAGACCCTGTAGAACTCACACACCGTTATTTCTGCCACATTCCATTGGTAAAGGCAGAACACTAAGCCATTCCAGATTCAAGAAGGTGGAGAAATAGATACACCTGCAATGGAAGGTGTGGCAGAGTCCCATTGTAAAGGGACATTATGCAGGATGGGAGGAATTTGTGGTCATTGAACAGTTGACGACTGCCCCAAACGGTTTTCTTGGTTTCACCCACCAGTATTTTCCAAAGTGAAACAATGAAAATCATGTCAATAATGATAATATCCTTTGGATCAAAGTGCTTAGAAGAACTGCTTAGAGGAACAATTTTAACATTTGCTCCGTGGCATATTTTTAAAATAATTTTTTATTTTTTAAAATTTATTTTTCAATAACAGTTGACATACAATATTATATTAGTGTCATATGTATACATAGTGTTTAGACATTTATATACCATAAAGTGATCCCCCACCCCCCAGGTAAGTCTAGTACCTATCTGACACCATACATAGTTACTACAATATTATTGAATATATTCCCTGTGGTGTACTTTATATCCCCGTGACTATTTTTATAACTGGCAATTTGCACTTCTTAATCCCTTTCATCATTTTCACACATCTCCTCACCTTTCTCCTGTCTGACAACTATCAATTTTTTCTCTTTATCTGTGAGCCCGTTTCTGTTTTGTTTGTTTATTATTCTTGTTTTTTAGATTTCACATATGAGTGAAACCATATGGTATTTGTCTTTCTCTATCTGATTTATTTCACTTAGCATAATACCCTCTAGGTCCATTCATGTTGTTGCAAATGGTCATATTTCATTCATTTTTCATGGCTGAGTAATATTTCAATGTATATATGTACCACATCATCTTTTTCCATTTGTCTGTTGATGGACACTTAAGTTGCTTCCATGACTTGGCTATTGTGAATGATGCTGCAATGAACATAGGGATGCATATATCTTTTCAAATTTGTATTTTAGATTTCTTCAGATAAATATCCAGAAGTGGAATTGCTGGGTGATATGGTAGTTATATTTTTAAAAATTTTTGAGGAATTTTCAAACTTTTCCATAGTTGCAGCACCCGTTTACAATCCCTCTAACAGTGTAAGAGGATCCCTTTTTCTCCATATCCTTGCCAGCACTTTTTGTTTGTTGTTTTATTGGTCATAACCATTCTAATACGTATGAGGTGATATCTCATTATAGTTTTAATTTGCATTCCCCTGATGGTTAGTGATGTTGAGCATCTTTTCATATGTCTTCATCTGTATGTCCTCTTTGGAGAAATCTCTGTTCAGGTCCTCTGTCCATTTTTAAATTTGATTATTTGGTTTTTGATGTTAAGTTGTATGAATTCCTTATATATTTTGGATATTAGCCCTTTACCAGATATATCATTGGGGAATATCTTCCTCCATTCAGTAGGTTGTCTTTTCATTTTGTTGATTGTTACCTTCACTGTGCAAAAACTTTTTAGTTTTGGCTTAGTCTCATTTGTTTATTTTTTCTTTTGTTTCCCTTGCCTGAGGAGACACATATATTTTGCTCAGTCTTCTAACAGATATTTTTCCAAGGATTTAAGAAAGTCTGAATAGCAGTGGAGTAGTAGAGGATTTTTCATGATCGCAGGGGTGGGCAAACTTTTTGACTCGAGGGCCACAATGGGTTCTTAAACTGGACCGGAGGGCCGGAACAAAAGCATGGATGGAGTGTTTGTGTGAACTAATATAAATTCAAAGTAAACATCATTACATAAAAGGGTACGGTCTTTTTTTTTTTTTTTTTTTAGTTTTATTCATTTCAAGCGGGCCGGATCTGGCCCGCGGGCCGTAGTTTGCCCACGGCTGATCTAGAGTCAAGATGGCTTGATCACCCCTTTATCTTGCCTACTTTTTCTTATATCATATCATATCTTATCTTTTACTAGATGCCAAATGTAAAAAGGAACGGAAGAAGAAAAAGAAGGTGACCAATATTATCTCATTTGATGATGAAGAAGATGAGCAGACCTCTGGCGATGTTTTTAAAAAGATGCCTGGGACGGGGGAGAGCTCGGAGGAGAACTCTGACCGCTCCTCGGTCAATATCATGGCCTTTGAAAGCCCCTTTGGACCTAATTCCATTGGAAGCCAGAGCAGCAACTCATGGAAAATTGATTCTCTGTCTTTGAATGGGGAGTTTGGGTACCAGAAGCTTGATGTGAAAAGCATCGACGATGAAGATGTGGATGAAAATGAGGATGACGCGTACACGTCGGGAAGGAAGCACACGGGCCACTCAGAGTCGCCTGAGAAGTAAGTTCCACTCTAGGTTTTAACAAAGGGTGGTACGTTAACTGCTTTCCCTTCCTGCAGAATTGGGTGAAAGAAGGGTGCAAGGTTTATATTTGTTTGGGGCATCTTTCGTTTTTCAGATCTTAATTTAGGAGGAAGGAGCATTATTAGCTTCTTGAGAACTAAGAGAGGGGAAGGGAGTATGTTTGAAGGTACCTATTACAAAATTAGTGTCAAGATGCATGCCTTGAAACTTTTGCTTTACATATCCAGCTTTCATTTTTGTTTTCTAGCTTTTCCTCCCAACTTTAACTTGCCGCTAGCATAGGGAGATCAGGAGAAAGGCAGGGTTATTCTAGAAAATAGCCGTGGGCTGGTGACGTCTGTGTTTATCTGCAGGTGTGTGAGCATCAGTGATTTGCCTGCACTTGCTGCTTTAACACTGGAGTTGCTATAGACTTATGCCTGTGGAAGGGGCTTGACACATGAAGGCATAAAGCAAACACGTACAGTTAAGAGCTTGGATTTTGGAATCAAGACAACCTAGGTCCTCGTGTACTAGCTCCTTGGCTTAGGTTGGATGAGGTTGGACAAGTTACTTCACCTCCCAGAGTCTCTGGGCTCATCAGAGACCTGGGAGAAAAACAGTACCTTCTTAGTAGGGTTGTATTCAAAGTACTGAGCTATTCCGTGTGGGCTGTCTGCACACTACTATTGTAATAATATTCCCAAGCTTGGTTTTACTCTTCATGCCAAAGAAATTAGTTTTCACGTAGGCGTTACAGTGGTCAATGCTATCCTGATCACTTTGACTTCAAAACCAGCCCACAAGAGTGAAACAGAGATATTGAGACCCCATGGTATGACTGAAAGGTACAGTATGTCTTAGCCCTAAACTTTCCACTTTCATGCTTTAATAGTTTTTCTTTTTTCTTTCTCATGAGACTATGCCTACTTTTGTCTTTGATTGTTACACTGGTCCTCATTCACGTGGGTACCTGTATTAGTATCATCTGATTGGCCATCAGTGTGACATGTCAGATGCTATAAGCTATGTATATATTCTCCTAATCCGTAGGTTAGTGGATACCACCCTCACGGGATGGATGAAAAACGGGATTCGTAGAGAGTTGAGATCTGTCAGAGCAATGGGCAAAGCTGGGTTAAGGTTAGGTTATGCTGTACTCCATAGCTTACACTGTACTGTCGAATATTTTCCATATAATTCTGAATGTCGATTGGTTGAGTTCAGTTAGATCAGTGGTCGGCAAACTCATTAGTCAACAGAGCCAAATATCAACAGTACAACGATTAAAACTTCTTTTGAGAGCCAAATTTTTTAAACTTAAACTATATAGGTAGGTACATTGTTATTAACTTAATTAGGGTACTCCTAAGGCTTAGGAAGAGCCACACTCAAGGGGCCAAAGAGCCCCATGTGGCTCGAGAGCCGCAGCTTGCCGACCACGGAGTTAGATCAATATGTCATGTTTGTTAAAGGTTCCCCCATTGTTGAGTATTGGCATCTTCCTAATGGCAGCTTTGTCTGTTGTCGCTTTTTGTTATCAGCCATTGTGAAATAAACATTTTCATGCAGAGGCTTTTTTCTCCTCCTGAAGTAATCATGAGAGTAGCGTCCCTGCAGCTTGTTTTGCTGACAGGCCGTGAATGTTTTGTTCCTGGAATCCAGGTCTTGTGATGGGCTGTGTTAGTCAGGGTTCTCCAGAGAAACAGGACCAAGAGGGTGTGTGTGTGTCTCTCTCTGTGTGTATCTATCTGTCTAGAGAGATTTATTTTAAGGGATTGGCTCATGTGATGGTGGAACTTTGACAAGTTCAGAAAATGGAGGGTGGGCTGGCAGGCTGGAGACTCAAGGGAGAATTGCAGTTTAAGTCCTAAGGCTGTCTGCTGGCAGAACTTCTTCTCAGTCTTTTTCTATGAAGGCCTTTAACTGATTCAATGAGGCCCACCCAAATTATGGAGGGTAGTCTGCTTTACTAGTACGCAATGTCTGCCGATTTAAAGGTTCATTTCATCTGAAAAATACCTTCCCAGGAGCATAGAATAACGTTTGATCATATCTGGCTACTGTGGCATAGCCAAGTTGACACTTAAAATTCACCCTCACACTTGCCTTTAGTCTTAATCTAGGCCTTTCAGGAAATGCCACTTGTGTTCTGTGTCTCTGCAGGTGAGAGCAACTGAGTTTATTCACTTCATGGGTTTTCATTGGCCTTAAACTCAGTCATTTCTCTTCCTAATGACCAGTGCCATTGAGGGAGTCTGGAGGGGAGGCCGCCTTGCAAGCCAAGGTAGCTGCCAGCATTGTGATGTGTGAGACACAGGACAGTGCAGGTGACCTTCACAGAGCTGGCCCTTTGGGGCCTCGAGCCTCCTGGAGATTCTGGAGCCTCTCCTGCGTAAACGGGGTCTTGAGTGAGCATTCGCAGAGCATCTTGGGGAAGGAGCAGGGCTGATGAGGTGGCCTATGAATAATGCTTTCCCTTAAAAAAAAATTTTTTTAAATTGATTTCAGAGAGGAAGGGAGAGAGATAGAGAGATAGAAACATAAATAATGAGAGAGAATCATTGATTGGCTGCCTCCTGCATGCCCCTTACTGGCGAGGAATTGAGCCCACAACCTGGGCATGTGCCCTTGGCTGGAATCAAACCTGGGACCCTTTAGTCCGCAGGCCTGGGCTAGGGCTAATGCTTTCCTTTTGATTGTAAGAAAATGTTCATATGTACGGTCTCGGTGCCTGAGGGGCCAGAACTTGAGCAGTGTAACCGCACAGCTGGGTTTGTGAGGGGAGTGGCCAGGTGAGGCCAGGGGAAGCACACTGTGGTCTGTCACAGCCTCTGGCAAGGTCGATGCTCTGAGGGCTTTAAGATGCTCTGTTGGCCAAAGGTTGAGTTCTATGCCTCTGTTTGCTAGCAATTAAACCACTTATTTGATGACTAAGGAAAATCTTGTCCCTCAAGATTTTGGCTTTGCTTTTTTTTTCTTCAAGAGGATAATACCTTTATTGTAGAAAGTAGTTTTTCTGTCACTTCATATGTGTTCTATGATGCCACTAGGAAAGTACGGTGAAAACATAATTCAGAAAGAATTTCAAACATGTGGGAAAATGTTGCACCTCACTAGCAATTAAGCAAAGGCAAAGTGAAAGCAGATACTATGCTCGCCTGTCATATTTGCGGAGAGTTAAAGTGAGAACTGGGAAAAGGCAGGCCCTGGTTAGTGTCCTGGCCGTGGCAGCCCTTGGTGTGTCCTCAGGCTTGGTATGCTCCAGGCACACAGTAGGCGCATACTGCGGAATGAGTGATGTAAGGCATCCTCCTCCATAGCTGGTTAGTGTTGGCAGCCCTCTAGAAAACAGAGTGTCAGCAGCCTTAGAAATGTCGACCTCACTTGACTTAGCAACCCCACTGCCAGGGATCTACCCAAGGGCAGTCTCAGGGAGCAGGCTGCTGCCTCAGGTAGCAAAGTCCATACTTAGAGAAGCAGAACATCAGAGCCGACTTACACGTGCCACCACAGAGGATCCCATCGCGTGAACCTCGACATCTTAATGTTTAGGACCTTAAACCCCTCAAATGCGAAGTGTAAGAGTATCCAAGTAGTTTGAAATGAACTTGTGAGTTTATGCTGAATGAAAAAAGGCGAATATAAAATCCTACATTTAGTTTCAGTATGGCCTCGTAAAGAAAACTATGTTCAAGAAAGAAAAGACACACTAAAAGGAGATCGTGTCTAAATCAGTTGTGCTTTGGGTAATGTGGTGTTGGGTGTCATTTTTCCCCCTCCTCTTTTTAACCTTTTCTTGGTTTTACAATGTGTTTTACTTTTCTAACAAAAAGCAACACCTGCTCTTATGTTGCTGAGCCAGCGGTGGCACCATATTCTGAATTGGTCTCTGCCTCAGGAACCACTTTGGTGTAACTCAGTTTTGAGGTGTGACCCTTGGCCCTTTTTGCTTGGGTCCCAAACCTCAGCTGCTGGAGCCTGGCTTCCCCTTGCACCCCGCATGTGTTGCTGGGAAGTGGCAAGATTTCCCCTCAGAAACAGCAGCAAGTGCAATGGTGGGGAAAGGACGGGTGGTTTTGCTTCCTTCTGAGGGGTGCCCTGACTGCCTCTGGGTGTCTGGGAGTCCCTCAGTCACCAGCTGCTGGACTGGAGCCCCAGGAGGGCAGTTCTGTACAGGTTCTAGGGGCACAGCCCCGTTCATGGAAGAAGGAGCCTTCCTCTCCTGTGCCCTAGAGTGCCATCTGAGAGTCTCATTGTGTGTGCACCTGCAGGGTTAAATGATACATTTTGCAAAATTCTGTAGACTTTCGTTTGGTGCCAAATGTATGACCACAAGCTAGAGCGGGCTGAAAGCAGAATTTCTACATGATGATCTCTAAAAGAAGGGGTGGCCAGCTACACCTGCTGGCCAGGTCCTCTACACAGCTGAGAATGGTTGGTTGTTACATGTTTAAGGGGTTGTTAAACAAACAAACAAAGCTAAACAAACAAAAACCCAAAGAAGAATAAGTATGGCCACAAGGCCTAAACTTTTGCTATCTGGTCCTTTCTAGAAAAGTGTTGTTGATCCCTGCTCTAAGGAATGAAAGAAAACCGCTATGCATCATGCGTGGTGGGCAGGAGCCAGGAGACCCATTGTACCTGGGTTTGGAAGACCTGGCCTTGAGCCCCCCACAAGCCTTGGTTCTGTCCTTAAGGCTTATGACCTTGTACAAGTCAGAATTTTTTGAGTTTTTCTCCCTCTCTCCCTTCTTCCCTCCTTTCCTCCTCCCACCTCCCCTCCCTTTTCTTTGTCCTTTCCTCTCCCTCCCCACCCCTCCCTCCCTCCCTCCCTCTGTTAAGTAGGTGTGATTATGATCTGCTCTGGTCCTCACAGCTGAGTTACAGAGTGAGTTTATAGTCTGTAAATGTGCTGTGGGCAGTACTTTCTCAAATAAGTTGAATTGAGCCAGCCTGGTACTACAAAGATCCTACAGGTTAGTTCTGTACTCAGTGGATTGGTGACAATATAACAGATAATGTGAGCTGGTTAATGTTTGAGCTGACCCCCTTTCTTGGAAGGGACCCAGACATGGTCTGGTCTGATTCTGCTCTTTACTTGAGAGGGTTTGAGAACCAACGAGGCAAAGTGCCAGCCCAGGTCACGTGGCTGCCATCATTTCAGAGCCTGGAACACACCATGCTTCCTCCTTCAGCACTTTGCACATGCTGTTCCCTCCCCCTCCGTCCCTCTTGTCCCTCCTCTTCACTCAGGTAACTCTTGTGCTTCCTTCAGCTCTCACCTCAAACCTCCCTTCTTCCAGGAAGCCTTCCATGACCTTCTGACCAGCTCCATGAGGATGAGCTGTTGTTCTACACCTTCTAGGGGGAATAATTGATTCATGTCTGTGCCCCCCAATAGACTGTAAGCTCCATGAGGGCAGGATAAACACTGTGTGCTGGCTCTTTTGCCAGCACTGAATATATGTGCTGCATACTACCTGGCATATAATAGGTGCTCAGTAAAAAGTGGCCGAAAGAACAAATGCAAGGGGTCTGGCTCCAGACTTCGTGCTCCCGACTCCCAGTCTGCATCTCCTGCTATGCCCAGCCCTGTCATGGTTAGTTCCCAAGAAGGAGCTTGTGGGAGGCCCAGCAGATGCTTGTGGTGACCTGAGCCCTCAGGGGCCCTTCAACCTTTCACATAGCTGTATTCTTTCATCACAGGCCACTGGACGGGAACACCTGCCTCTCCCAGATGCAGAGCTGGGCTCCTCTGCAGGTGCTGCATGGTGACACCGATGTCCTCTTTCCGGTCAGCGGAGTGGGCTCCTTCAGCCCTGCAGGTGGGTGCTTCCTGACTGCTCTTTCCCTCCACTGCGAGTGTCGAGTGTCGGCTCCGAGAACCACAGGGGTGTCTGGGCCACTTCTGCTGGTGGGAGTGGGGGCAAGGAGGCCGGGGCTCCGAACAGGAGGGCTGCTGAGGTTCGGAGGGCAGTGGGTTTGGCTTCACTTCCTGCTGAACCTGGGTATTTTGAGATGCCCTCGCCTGAATGAGGTTGGGCAAAATGGGCTGGCAGGTCACCAGGGAGTCCCCAGTCTGCTTTTCTTCTTGCCAGTGATTTGCTGAACTCGGTCATGTACAAGTTGACTACAAAGGATGACCATTATTTGAGCCTCTTAGGAGAAGGGAGGCCACAGAACCCATAGCTGTGGAGGCCCTGGCACCCTCAGCAGCAGAGTGCTTAGGGTCAGGGAGTAGCTTGCTCAGACCTGCCTGTGGAGTGGGTAGCAGTTCTGGCCCAGTCCCTGCTGCTGAGCACACATGTGTGGTTTGTTATTGTCTTCTGTAGTGAGGGCAGGTCACGGGGAGGGGGGGGACAGACGTGCAGGAGCCCAGCTGGCCCAGAGGAGTGGGAGTGCATGTAGCCGACTCAGTGCCTGGCACTTCCCCACAGCACCACCAGGTCCCCGAGGCTGTGGTCCCCCCAACCCCACCCTGACGTCTTCCCAGGGCCAGGTTTAAGAAACTGACGGGGCTGCCAACTGCTCAGGAAGCTGCTGGCTTTCTGAGCTGGATGACAGACTGTTGTACTTGCCACTGTGCAGGGAGCACTGGAGTTTCTAGGGTTTGTTCGTGGCTTGCAGCTCACCACCCAGGTCCCCGTTCACCTTGCCCTGCTCCCCCTGGAGGCGCCTTTCGGTTGGGCTGTGAGGTATTGCTGGGCTGAGAGGTGCATCCGTGGCTTGCAGCTCACCACCCAGGTCCCCGTTCACCTCCCCCTGGAGACGCCTTTCGGTTGGGCTGTGAGGTGTTGCTGGGCTGAGAGGTGCATGCACTAGGCAGTGGCTGTTTCATTTTTTAACTGGGCTCCTCTAACCATCAGATGCTGGGCAGATGGCTGGCTGCTCCGAAATGCTGTTTGCCACCAAACTGGGATTTGGTCCTTTCGCACCCAGCATTCTCCATCCCTCTGGGCTTTCTGTAGACCAGTGTATCTAGGGCAGTGATGGCGAACCTAAGACACGCGTGTCAGAGGTGACACACGGACTCATTTTTTTGGTTGATTTTTCTTTGTTAAATGGCATTTAAATATATAAAATAAATATCAAAAATATAAGTCTTTGTTTTACTATGGTGGCAAATATAAAAAAAATTTCTATATGTGACATGGCACCAGAGTTAAGTAGGGTTTTTCAAAATGCTGGCAAATATAAAAAAATTTCTGTATGTGACATGGCACCAGAGTTAAGTAGGGTTTTTCAAAATGCTGACACGCCGATCTCAAAAGGTTCGCCATCACTGCTCTAGGGGAAGTAGCCCCTGGCCAGGTCCAGGACCCTCGCGGACCCTCAAGAGAAGACATCCCCTGGCAGGTTGCCCACAGTCCCACCTCCGGCCTTTGTCCTGGCGGACCCGAGGCTGTCTTGTCACTGTTGATGGGGCCCGAGCTCCAGCATCTGATTGCCCTCACCAGGGAGGCTGCGCAGGAGCCAGTCTGCCAGCTGTTTCCCTTAGAACAGTAACACAGCTCTCAGTGGCCTTGGACGATGTGACAGCCAGAGGGACAAGTGCCGCAGGAGCATGGCATGGGAGGCAGCTTCATCCAGGCGGCATGGAGACACTGGAGCTGGAGCTGGGGAACCGGTCACCCGAGTGGATTCCAGAGTGCATCAAGTCCCTCCTGCATGATGCCCCGTTTCCATGGCAGGCGCGTGGCCCAGGTGGCGCTGGGACTGGCCTGCCTGCAGGGGGACCCTTCCCTAGGCAGCACCCAGCATGGCCGTGATTCCTTTCCCAAACTCCTTTTCTTTCCCTCCTTTTCTGACTTGTGCCCCTTCTGATCGACACCCCCTAATTGAGTGATCTTAACGTATTCTCTCAGTCAGGCCTGGGAGCCATTTCGTGTCGTTGGTGGTGAGTTTGCACACAGGGGGCTCCTCCCTTAGGAGACCGTCCCATCATCTTTGAAAATGTTAGTGCCTCTACTGTCATCGCCTTTGGGGTATTAGAGGAAGGGAGGGAGAGAGGAGGATAAACAGGAGGAGAGGGACATGGTGGGGAAGACGGATGTGTTGGTAGCTAAGTCTTGGGAGGGAGAAAGCGGCGGAGAAGGGGACCCTGAACACAGAGTCATTATCCTTCTGGACCTTGGAAGGGGGCATTCTGTGGATCAGGGGCTGAGCTTTGGGCTGCATTTCTGGGGCGAGGGAGGGGCTCAGGTCAGGGAGATGCCAGGCCAGGGCTTGATCCCCAGTAGGGGGTGTGCAGGAGGCAGCCAATCGATGTTTCTTTCTCATTGATGCTTCTCTATCCCTCTCTCTAAAATAAATAAAAAAAACATTAAAAAAATAAAATTAAGATAGTAGTAGTGGCAGTACCTGCCTCAGAAGGGATGTGGCAGATGAGTGAGCTAGTCTGCATCTCCGACTGCTCTGTGGTTCCGGGGCCTCAGCTCACTACAGCTTGTTGCGGTCATGTATCATGAAGGGAAATCCGCTGGGGCCGAGTCGGTGTGGTATCCGGGATGCTGGTGGGTGATGGTGGCCTTCACTCCAACTACGGGTTTCCATGTGTACTGGTATGTTGGAGCCCCTGTCCTTGCTTCAGGGAGCAGAATCTGACGGCTGTGTGAGTCAGGTTAGAGGGGTGCGGTGACCTGAGGTGACCTGCTGCAGGAGACCCCTAGAAGGTCTGGAGCCTTTGAACGAGGGTGAAAATGGCTGGGAAGCAAGGAGTGGGAAGTAGGTAGGGGAGCTGGCAGGTTTAGGCACCACTAGCTCTGTGATGGGAGGGCAGGAGAGTGCCAGGCTCTGAGGGTACAGCCAGTGGGAAGTGGTGACAGAAGAAGAGTGGATTTGAAGGTCATGATCAGTTGGTGGCCCTGTAGGACATCCCAGTGGAGATTTCTGGTAGGCAGTGAGAAATGTGGGGCTGGGATTCAAGATTCAGGTCCTAGCCAGAAGCGAGGGTTGAGCATGGTCATCTTCACAGAGTGGAGTCTGCAGCTAAGACCTTGCTGGATTTATCGGGGACAGAGGCCACAGAACTGAGATTCAGGGACACCTTTGCTCAGGAATCAGAGAAAAAGATGGTGGGGGAGGGGGACCAAAGATCATTGCTGTGAAGGCTGAGAAATGAGTCCTTCAAGGAGGAATGTAGGAGGGGGACCGAGGAAAGCGCTCTTGGGTCCTTTGAGGGCAAATCCAGTTGCCTGGGAAGATGAGAGCCCTTGGCTCACTGAGTATTTGTTCTCCCTGAGTTTTACACATATTACGATTTATTATGTGGTAGGCGTTAAGTGTTGTATGGTAGGCAGTAGAGTCATCCCATTTCATAGATGAGGAAACTGAGGCACAAAGAGCATAGGTCACTTGCTGAGTTAAAGTTGGGAGCAGGGCTTGAGCCCAGGCAGCCCTCAATCTTAAACTAACCACAATACCCTGGTATGAGAAAGGAGAGGCGGCAAAGTAGCTTGATGGTGTCAGCAGGGTGAAAAAGGTGAAAAACCATTTTTTTCCTTTTAGAGGTGCCTTAGTTGAACCCCTTAAGAGCTGGGGAGTCTTGAGCAGGACGACACTAGCATAAATGGAAAGAATGACACGGAGGAGGCTGTCATGGGCGGCTTAGGGAAACCAGAGGTGTTCCCCTCCGACTGTGTTCCTGTTCCGGTCCAGGCCTGGCTTGTGCTGGGCATTGACAAGCCAGAAGTTTCTCCAGTGAGCAAATGTTCTGGGTGAAGCCGGCTTTAATGTCACCGTCTAGCCCAAGGGGTATATGATTTGCACTTCTTTCGGAAAGAGACTTGAACAGCAGCTGATAACGTTTATGAAAATCTTCAGTGCCTCTTGCCTGTTGTTTCTGGAGATTATTTGTGGCCTCACTTCTTCCAAATGCCTTTCCCACATGCCGCTGAATGCAGGGCAAGTGGCTTCTTTAGAAATTGGCAGTCACTTCCTTTTGACCAGAGCAGACACTGTCAGCGATTAGACTGTGCTGCCCTCTCGTGTCCATCTTGAGCCACTACAGGCAGGAGCAGTTTTGTGTAACAGAAAGCTTTGTTACTCCCTGATTCTGAGGTTGGCCCTGAATATGGACTTCGTGGGGAATTCCAGCTGGCTAAGGTAAAAAAGGTTGGGGCCTTCTATCAGTGACTGATGCAAAATCTGAGATGGATGAAAAAAATGAAACCCATAGCAGACAGAAAGGAAAAAATTTCCAAGTCAACTTGTTTAGCAGATGAGCCATTGTGCTGTGTGCATTGTGTCCTCGCCTCATGGAGAAAATGAGATGACAACAGAAACCTGACCTGCTCTCTGTGATTGCTCTCTGTTCTCAGATGCCCCCCTCGGAAGCCTGGAGAACGGGACAGGACCCGAGGACCACGCTCTCCCGGAGCCCGGACCTCGGTACAGGTGAGTGGGTGGTCAGAAACCAGGTTGCCTTTGGGGTTGGATTTTATTCTTTTTTAAAGATAGGGGGGCACCTGCTAGGATTGAAGGGCAAGGCCGTATTTGTGTTCAGTTTTAACTTAACATCACAAAATGTGGAGTTGTCAGGGGTCAAAGGGCATGAGCGACTTTGTAAGAAATAGGATTTGCATACCACCATTACTTTGTGCACTTTTGGGGCCAAATCTGGGTACCTTCTCTGTCATTATTTGCTAATTTTAATATTTGATCATGTTGAATAATTAATATTATATGATATTTAAGCCGCTTAGATAGCATATGTTTGTGAAGTGCTTAGTCTGGCTTTAGTAGTAAGTGCCATATTAGTCTTCTTTTTTCAAATTAAACCATCTCAATACATTAAGCTGCCCAAAGTCCTTGGTTGTGTGGTGGCACAGTGAAGTCTCTGTTCTGTGTGAACCTTATTGCTGTTACTGTGTTTCCTTCTTTCTCGTCATGGTTTTAATTTGGTGTTTCATTTGCAAGCTCAGCTCCAGGCTGGGAGCCCGATTGCCCCATACCTCGCTTGGGGCTGTGGCCTCTCCCTGGGGAGCCAAGCTGTGCTCTCTGAAACCAACAGCCTGTAGGAGGCTGTACCCATCAGTAGTGTCAGGAAGGGTTGGTGCCCGACACATCCAGGACTCCGAGTCCTTTTTGCTGTTTGTCTTAGAAAAACTGGAAAATGCAGCATTAAATGAAAAAATCACTTTTAACTCCCAACTCTGTTTCTGTGTTGATATTTTGGTCCTTTTCCTCCTAGTGGGGTGTGTGTGTGTGTGTGTGTGTGTGTATGTGCTTGTGTGCTTTAATCACACTGTGGCCCTGCTGTCTTCATAAAAGATGTGCTGTTTTCCATGTTGCAAATGCTTTGTAAATATACAGCCGGTTCTCATTATCTCTGGTAACTGTGTTCTGTGCAGTTGCTGTGAAGGCGGAACCACTACTCAGGGGAAATCGAGGGCTGGGCTCCTGTGAGCCTCTCACAGCCCTTTTGTCAGCCATCAGTACATACCTTTGTTTTATGTCCGTTCCTGTTCTAAGACACCTGATTTAACATATATTGTTGACTTTTTGACATTGAACTCATGGCCATTAGCACTGTAACTCCTGCTTGAACAAAAGGTTACCTGACACGTATTTTCTCCGCAATGGATATCACAGCCTTCTGGTGCTTGGGAACACCAGATGGCCCTTTAACACTACGCTTAAATAGCACAATCACCAAGAAATGTGAAAAATGTCGCACTAAATCACCCACCAAGGGACACATTTGCAGTATGAGAGTTGAAAGATGGAGGCAGAGCTCACCTTGTTGGTGTCAGCGGGGAGCACACACACCTGGGGGCCCTGCCGCGTGCAGGAGTGAGCACAAAAGCACCGCGATGTGGATTTTGGGGTTACAGATACATTTAGTGGGCGGGGACACTTGTAGGTCAGGAATTGCAAATAATGAGGATTGACTGTAATTCCGAAGGCTGCCTTCTGTTCCTTGTAGTAGGTGTAGCTGAATAAACTTAGCACCAGTTAGTGTTTGAATGGTGAGGGTGTGCATTTGAAGTCGCCGAGTGTAACCTCTTTCTGCCTGCCTTTTCCCAGCGTGGAAGCCAGTCCTCCAGGCCAAGGAAGTCCTCTGAGCAGCCTGTTACCTCCTGCCTCGGTGCCAGAGTCGATGACAATTAGTAAGTACTTTCTGAGTCGCCTCCGCCGGTCCTGGGATGCCTCCTGGGCCTGTGCGTTGCAGCGGCGCCTCTGTGCTTGCTCCTACACGACTGTCGTGAACTGTGGGGTCAGGTCAGGTGTGTGCATCCCTGGTGCGGACGTGGAGTGTGGTGCGTGGTTGCAGGCTCGCTGAGCCGTGCTTGCACGTGATGCGTGGGCTTGTGCACACTTTCCAGGACATGCTCCTGGAGTGGGGCAGCGCTAGGTTAGAGGGCAGTCTTCTCTCGTTCAGGGTTTTAGGGTTCACCTCCTGGAAGGCTGTCAGCTAGAGCAGGGTTGTTTAGTTGCGTGTCCTTTGTAGCTCTGGAGGAGTCATTTTTCTAAGTGAGGAAGCGTGTGTCTCTCAAAGATGAATGAAAGTTGCTGGTGATCAGGTTCAAACTGTTTCCAACCTCATCACCCAGAAAAAAGTGTTAGAGGAGTAGCAATTAAGAGGAGGTCTGAGTGGCTTTATGTGATCAAGATGAGCCTGCTATGTCTTCATGAGCTAGGCAGGTCTGTTTAGAGCAGTGGTTCTCAACCTTGGCTGCACATTAAAATCCTGACTTCTGGGCCTCATCCTTCGGAAATTCTGTTTCTTTCTTATGGGGTGGGGCCACAACATTAGTAACAAAGAAACAGAATTTCTGGAGGATAAGGCCCAGAAATCAGGATTTTAAAAAGATTCCCAGGTGATTCTAATGTGCAGCTAAGGTTGAGAACCACTGGTTTAGAGGCAGGCGGAAGCTGGTGTGGGCTCCGGGCGGGCAGAGGCCAGGACTCCTGGCCCCCTGTTCTCATCCCAGGGGCAGGAAGGAAGCGTGATTCTAATGTGCAGCTAAGGTTGAGAACTACTGGTTTAGAGGCAGGCGGAAGCTGGTGTGGGCTCCAGGGGCAGGAAGGAAGTGGGGGCAGAGGAGAAACCGCCTCCATTCCTGCAGGTAGGATTCAACGGTCTGAACTTACACGGGGAAATATTTACAACCTTTCCCCTCAGCCTCTAGGAAATTTAGCATTTTCTTAATTGTGAAAGTAGCAGCAAAACATAGGAAGTGGTTAGAAAACGGGTGACTGTGTCACTGACAGAAGTCACAGGCACCTGCAAAACTGGCATGAAAGAGTCTCAGAATGTCATTTCTGCGTGAAAACATGGTAGTTTTTGAATGTGATAATAAAGAATCCTATATATTATTATGCTAGGGTGTTTTTTTTTTGCATTTTCATAATTCTATTTCAATATAGTCTGTTTGCTTTGTAATCGTTGTGTCTTATTTTATGTAATTTAAAACATTTTTCCCGAAAAGAGGCCCATGAGCGTCACCAGACTGCAGAGTGGGTCCATGGTACACAAAGGCGATATCCTCTCCGGCTGTCAGGCCCCTTCCTAGAAGGTGCACACCGTATCCCCCTCGGATGGCTGCGTACATTGGTGGCGTGGCCTGGGAGGCGACGTGCCCCACCCCCGTCAGGGCTGTCATTGCTAAGGAAGGAAGAGGGGCGTTTGGGAGCAGCCAGTGTCCTCTGACTCAGGGGTGAAGGAGGACATGAGCAGATGCTGTGAGGTTGGTGTGGTGGGAATGACCTGCCTCACTTTGTACAGTGAAAGCGTGTAGTATTTTAGGATGCTCCGCAGCCTTAATATCAGCCGAGCAGATATTTATAGATCGCCCAGGATGTGGGACATGGGCTAGGACAGTGATGGCGAACCTATGACACGCGAACTCACTTTTTTGGTTGATTTTTCTTTGTTAAATGGCATTTAAATATATAAAATAAATATCAAAAATATAAATCTTTGCTTTACTATGGTTGCAAATATCAAAAAATTTCTATATGTGACACGGCACCAGAGTTAAGTTAGGGTTTTTCAAAATGCTGACAGGCCGAGCTCAAAAGGTTCGCCATCACTGGGCTAGGAGAACACTAAGGTTGCTGGTTTTCAAATTCCAGTTGTTTTTTTGCCACGGTGCTATACTTACCCTGTAATTCCTTTCTTTTTTTTTTTGAATGTACACTTGAAAAATGTGCAAGTCTTTATTTAAAGAGGTAAGTTTATATGATTACAGTGACTGGAGAGCCACAATGGGTTGACTTAAATAGCAGGTGACTGTAAAAATGAAGACAGGGAGAAGGCAACCGTGTTATGAAGCTGACCTCGCTGCTGCCTGTGCCGGCTGTGACTGAGGCCATTGTTGAAAAACAGACTAGTGGGTGAGAGCATTGGGAAGGTGGAGGGCTGTCCTCTGCTGACCCGGACATTTCCCTGGAAGCAGTCGGAAGGCTTGGAAAAGTGAGGGGGGCTGGCCTCTCTGATCACTGTTATGTGACGCCTTGTCCTTGCAGCACGGGATGCTGTCTGTTTATGTGGGGACACCTCCATGTAGGGGTGAGGCTTGACCCTGTGCATCTACAGAACAGGGGTTTTGCCTTATTTCCATTTGTTTTGAAGAGGACAGTGATCCTGAGATTGGGGACACGAATAGCAGGCTTCATGGCTCCTCGTTCTAGGCACATTTGTAGGGGCCAGGCGTCTTCACACACCCAGCGGTCCCAGCTTTGGCTGCCAAGTAGGTTCCTGCTCCCTGGGCTGAGGCCCCGCCTCTCAGGTACAGGGTTCGCTTTGTCACTGCTCTTTGGGGTGTACAGAGACCGCGGACTGTGAGTCTTCCTCAGCCATTTTCTGTTCTTAAGGAAGTCACTCGCCCTGCTTGTGTGTGTTCACTGAGGAGGCTGCTCTGAACAGTTATGCTGATGGCAGGGGTGTAAGCCATTTTTCTTATTTTTATTCATACAGTTTTCTAAAAATGTAAACCCAGTTTTATTATTTCTTATCTTTGGCAAGTAGAGACATGTCCAGAGTGTACAGTTGAATCTCTGAGGAATAGGTCACTACGTCCACATTTTGATGCTCTGTATCTGTCAGTGTGGTGTGTGGGGGATTGCTGTGTGGATATGGGGGTTCTGTGTTCTAGGTGGCTGTAAATTTCAGGGAGTCTAATGGGGGCAGCACTGTCGTCCATCCTGTGTGTGTTCTGGCTGAGAAATCAGGGTTCTTAGAAACTGAGTGGAGGGGGTTTTGACTTGTGTACCCCCTCCCTGCCCCACTTCCTGTGTCATCACAGGAAAAGAAGAGCCGTCTGTCTGGGTAAGCAGGGTGTATTACTGGTAGTTTGCTCGGGCCACCATAATAATAAGCCACAGACTGGCGGCTTAACCAGCAGACACCTATTTCTCACAGTCCTGGGGGCTGGCAGTCCAAGACTGAGGTGCCGGCAGGGTGGGTTTTGGGGAGAGCTCTCTCCTTGGCCTTTTCTCTGTGCACATGCATCCCTGCTGTCTCTGCCTCTTCTTGTAAGTGCTGTGGATGAGACCGCAGTTAACCTTAATGACCTCTAAAGCCCCACCTCCAAATGCAGTCACATTGGGGGTGAGGCTTCAACATAGGGATTTTGGAGGGATATGCTTCAGTCCATAACACAGGGTGTCCTGGGAGCCGTGTCCCAGAGTGACCCCAATTCAAATTAAGTGTCGCATCCCAGCATGTGACACACAGGGTTCCACTAGAGAGATGCTTGACTCTCATAAACCCCAGAAGAGCCTGGCAAACAAATCCCGACTCGGTGCTCCCCGTAGCAGGGAGCGTGTCCTCACGTCCCGCCAGTGACTTCTCCACGTCATTTAGTGCTCTGAGCCCGTGGCTGCCTGGACACTGTCCTGCAGCTGAGCCTCGGTGCTGGGACAATTGACAATCCCCTGCCCAGCAGCCTCCCCTGGACATCTCTGAAAGGCTCTGAAAAGGCGAGGGCTTGGTCCTAGCGTTTGGGGCGTATAGTCTTATTATTTAGCACCCAAGAGAGGGTGGCTGAGCAGACCCCCATTACTGCTGTCTCTCTACCAGGCCCTTTGTACTTAAGAAAACAGAAAGCCCATGACGAAATCTAATTATTTAGTGGAATAGTATGGACAGTTTCGAGCAAACCAGAACACCCACACTCTGCCTCAGGGGCACTTTCCGCTTCTGCAGTTCCGGTTTTGGGTGTGCAGGGTTGTGCCTGGTTGGAGTTGCAGCATGGCTGGCGCTTGCGGGAGCAGTGTGCCCTCTCAGCTAGGCTGCCGGGTTCCGGGTTCGGCTGGGTGGCCTTCAGTCTCTCAGTGCCTTGCTGCCCTGTGCAAAGGTAAGATCAGAACCCACCTCGGATGGCCATTGTGGAGATCAGCTGTGATGCTTAGAAGAGTATTCGGATCAGAGCCAAGAGTCACTATTAGCTGTTATCAATGTGCTTATTCTATATTCTGCTTTCTTTTTTTAAAAATTAAATTTATTACGGTGACATTGGTCACCATTAACATACAGGTTTCAGGTGTGGGTTTCTGTTACAGGATCTATGTATTGCACTGTGTGCCCATCACCCAAAGTTAAATCTTCCTGCTTTCTTAACATTACTTCATAGTATCCTTTTCTTCTTCATCTCCTGCTCATCCTGTTGAATGACTGCATAATAGCCAGGTACTTGATTTATTACAACTTACCAGATTATTTTTTTGGGGGGTCATCAGGTCTTTTTAAAATTTTTGCTGTTTCTTTATTCATTGTAAAGAAAAACATGAGAAGCTCTAAGCTTGTAGTCAGTGCATTCTAAGACTCTTGCCCATTATTATTATTTTTTGTGCACCTGCTCCTTTGCAGCAAATTCCTGGTTGTGGGCTAGTGGACCACAGTTAGGCCTGCCTTTCTGGGCTTTCTGTGAGCAGCCATTTATGTTCAGTTAGTGTGTTGCCAGGAGTGTGACAGCTGCCAGTTTCTTTACACTTCACCAACCTTAGGTGCTGACATTTTATGCGTTTTTGCTGCTGCAGAACCGGGAACATGGCACTTTGTAGCTGTGTGACTGCATTCCTTCGGGGTGTTTCCCTGGTGTGAGCTGTTGGTTTATATCCTCTGGTGTGGGGCCTTTTGTTCTCCCATTGGGTGTCCTGCTGA